TTTTATGGCTGCCTGATATTCCACTCTCTGGATATACCACATGGAGTTTATCCATCCTGCCACCATCCATTCTGTCCCAAAGGTAGACATTGGGCTGTTTCCACCTTTTGGCTATTGTGAAGTCAAGCCCTTTAATTGATTTCCAGTCTTTAACAGGGTCTTACAGTCTGTGAGGCCACCTTCTGCCTTGGGCAGCCCCACCTGTTCCCAATCAAGTTCTTCTCACAAGCCCTCCCTCTGGCTGACTGTCTACACCTGTCCTCACACAAACCCACATCCCTGGTGAGGAGCTACGAGACTTCAGCTCAGCTCAACCCTTCCATACACTGCAGTGTTTGTATTTTCCATGGCGTTCCATTGCTTTAAAAAAATTTTTTTATTTCTTTTTGGCTGCATTGAGTCTTCATTGCTGTGTGCGGGCTTTTCTCTAGTTGCAGCGAGCAGGGGCTACTCTTTGTTGTGGTGCACAGGCTTCTCACTGCAGTGACTTCTCTTGTTGCGGAGCACGGGCTCTAGGCACACGGGCTTCAGTAGCTGTGGCTCGCGGGCTCTAGAGCGCAGGCTCAGTAGTTGCGGTGCACGGACTTAGTTGCTCCGCGGCATGTGGGATCTTCCCCGGCAAGGCTCAAACCCGCGTCCCCTGCACTGGCAGGCCGCTGCTTAACCACTGCGCCACCAGGGAAGTCCCTCCATTGCTTTTTTTTTTTCTTTTTTTGCGGTATGCGGGCCTCTCACTGTTGTGGCCTCTCCCGTTGTGGAGCACAGGCTCCGGACACGCAGGCTCAGCGGCCATGGCTCACGGGCCCAGGCGCTCCACGGCATGTGGGATCCTCCCGGACCGGGGCACAAACCCGCGTCCCCTGCATCGGCAGGCGAACTCTCAACCACTGCGCCACCAGGGAAGCCCCCTCCATTGCTTTTTTACTGAGCACTTAGAATAAGCCCGCCACTGAACCAAAGGCTTTACCCAGAGCATCTCATTTAATCCCCACAACCGTACACAACAGGGTTATCATGACCCCGGTTCACAGGCGAGGAAACAAGATCAAGCAGAACTCCCAGTTCACTGCCCTTCCCCCCCCACCGCCCGAACACTCGGCCAGTACTGCGTTCAACTCTTATCAGCTCGTTTCCTCTACTCACCCAAGCTACCCCCTACCCTGGAAAACCAAAGCCTAAAACGAGAACACTCCAAGCTTATCCAGCAGCAGGTCTATAAAAACCCAATAGTCTTCCATGCAACAAATGGAGGTGCTGCGAGGCCACCAGAGGTGACATCTCTCAGCCCACTCCCACCCCACACCTGGGGCGGGGCAGCTCCCGTAGGTTCAGCCGCCAGGCTCCCCCGAACGGCTGCCGGGGGGCCTCAGAAGCCACCCCCACCCCCCGCTGGACCACTGGAGCAGCTGGCAAAGGGCACCACTCGGGGCCCCAAAGGGGGTGAGTGCAACTGGGCCAGAGGGTGGCCCCCAGACCCAGGTAGGTGGGGGCAGAGGAGAGGAGCCGGTTGTCCGCTCTCGTACCTGCATCCTGGGTCCAGCTTCCACTCGGACGACAGCGGTACCCCTTCCAGCCCAGGAGGCCAGCGGAAGTCAACGTCTTTCTGGCCCCGCCCAGAGGCGGCCCTTCCTCCCTCACGCGTCTCCGGGGGAGGCTCACGTGCGCTCTCACGTGGGAGCCGTTTACACCAGGGAAAGCAGCAAATGCTATACATCAGGCCCCGCCCCAGCCAGGTGTTAACTGTTTACTGCGTGCCTCTGCTCAAGAGGACCCGCAAGGCCCGTGGAAGAAGCTGGTCAGCAGAGGGGGGAGGGGTGCAAGCAGGCATTTACAAGGAAGGAGAAAGCTTATTAGCAGAAGTTCAATCCTCCCAGGAGAGGCAGGGTGGGGAGGGCCCTGGACTGTTGGTCCCACCCCGTCATCTTTCAAGGAAGCAGAAGAGAGAACTCTTTGCTCTGTCCAAGGCCTCACAGCCGGGGGAGAACCAACCCCAGATCTCCCGGCTCCAAGACGGTACTGCTGCTATACCAAGGGGTCCCCACGAACCAAACAATATGCCCGCCACAAACCAAACTCCGACAGCTACCTCGGAGTTGGTGCAGGGCAAGGGAAGGCAGGCGGTGGAGGCCTCTACAACCACAAGTAGATAGGTTTAGAGTCGGTTTGCCCCATCTCCCTCCTGGCCCCAGGGTTCCTCGCCTCCCTGCCCCAAGACCGGGTACCAGCCAGCTTAGCGAGCAGGTGGACAGCATTCCCGGAGTGAGCTGGCCCTTCAAGGGGATGGGTTCAGGGTGAGGTTATGTCCGTCAGCTTTCAGGACAAATTCTTAGCTTATTAATTCTCCTCTGTTCCGCAGGCAAAAGTAAACAAGCTTTTCTCAGGCAGCCCAGCACGGAGGCCTTCCCTATTCAAACACTGCAAGAATCGACAGGCTTGGAAGTACTGAGCTCCCAGGCCCCGCTTCCCAGGGGGCCCCCTGGCCTCCTGCCCACAACGTCCCTCCTGCTGAGATGAGGAGAGCAGGGCCTCTTTGTGGTGGCAGACCCCAGAGTCCCAGCGCCCGTAGTCTAGACCTGGCCCGAGTTCTCCAGAAAAAGCAGCACAGATCCTGACCATTCGGAGACCCAGAGAAGGTCACAAAGGGTCCGGCCAAGGACACAGCATCCCAGCAAGCACCACACCTGCTCACTTAGCCCCTCTGTGGAGAAAGCACTTTGTCAAAGGGTGTTCATTTACTGTTTGCATCCATTTAAACCATGTTTTTAAACGTCCAGAAAGAAGAAAGGAAATAAACAGTGATCAAATCAAAAGGAGTCCGAAAAGTTAACTGGGAGTTGATAAACACTTTTCAAAGAAAAATGCTACAAGTGTTTGTTAGTTGCCCAGGAATCTTTTGTCTGGTTGAGCGGAGGTCGTTGCATGTTTTATACCAGCTTCTTGTGGTGTGTACAGAAATCTCATGAGTTGTTTTTTGCTTCTCCTCTATTGTTGTTTCCATTTGCCCATTTCTAAGGTGGAATGAAAAAGCCAAAACCACTGCAAGAAACAAAGACAAGGTTGCAAGGCCCAGAAAGATGGGCGGTGAGAGAGAGAGAGAGAGAGGGTGAAGATATGCCTTGTCCTTGCATGAGCTGGGTTCTCAGCCCCGGTGAGTTCTGATGGGACTCATGTCACAGCAAGGAAGCAAGAATCGCGACTACATTAACTGGAAGTGTCTTCTCGCTTCAAAACTGCTCTACCCGAGAGCTGAGCTGGGCTGTTCCTTTTATTGTGTTTTTACCAAAGAGCTTCCTCATCCTGCCTCCCAGGCACCCGTCATGCTGCTTCCTTCATCCCCTTCCCAGCACTATTTCTCCTGTAAGTGTCCCCCGGGGCTCAACCAAAGGTGACAGAAGACTCTGCCCAACAACCCAAGACCAAAGTATCTTTGGTTTTCCCCAGTGTAGCCTCCAGCACTCCCTGAAATTTTCTGTCCTTTCCTCTTTGAGGGCTGTTTGGTGATGGTGCACATCCAAGTTCTGAATCCGTTTTCTCTCAAGTTCCCAGCGCATGGCCAATATTCAAAAAAAATCCAGTCTATTCTAATGTATTCAGGTGGGGACTTCCCTGGCGGTCCAGTGGCTTAAGACTCTGCACTTCCGCTGCAGGGGGCATAGGTTCGATCCCTGGTCAGGCTGTGCCACGTAGCCAAAAATAAAAATTTAAAAATTTAAAAACTAAAGTATTCAGGTGACCACATGGGTGCACAGACCTCCCCAACAGGTGGATCTGGGGAGGAGCAAAGGGGTTCCCAGAGCTGACACTGATGTCCCTGCAGGGCCCCACTGTCACCATTCCTGCCCCCCATTCCCACTCCAAGTACCAGTACACAAAAGCCCCATGTGACCGCAGGCCCAGGGCGCTGGGTACAGCATGGCCTGCTCTCCTGGTGCCCCCTCCAGCCAGGCTCCGAGCCCTCTCTGTACCCAGAGCCAGGACTGGGTGACCCTTCTTGTACCAAGGACTGGTGACGTCCATGGACGTCACAGTGACATTTTTACTTTCTCACAGTAATGTTTTTAAATGCAGAAATAAAATCCATAGGACTACAAAGGAAACTAATCAATACTGAAATACACTTAACCCAAATCTTTCCAAAACCCCAGATTTAGGGTACAGTTACGTAATGTATGTGTTTCTTTATTAATGATTGTAAGTCAGGACCTAGCAGCAGGTCTGGTAACTTCCATCACTCTGAAGCAATTTAGTGAGCGTAATACTATTCCATGATAGCTGCACCAACTCTAACGTGATGTGAAAACGGCTGGGATTTCTGCTGGTGGCCAGATCACTGATGTTGCTGGCCTGGCTATGGTTTGTGGCCCATCTTTGCAATAAAGGAAACTCTTTTTTTTTTTTTTTTAGGTCGCACCACACAGCAGGCAGGGTCTTAGTTCCTCGACCAGGGATCGAACCCGCACCCCCTGCAGTGGAAGTGCGGACTCCTAACCACTGGACCACCAGGCAAGTCTTCTTTTTTTTTTTTTTTCCAGGAAACTCTTGATTTCAGTTAGAAGGAAGGGACCGTGAGGGGGTGAGTCTCTTCCTGTCCCGATTCATGCCCTCCCCCAATTCTGTTTGTGGACCCCCGTGCTCTAGAATGCCTTTTTCATCCCCACCACCCATCTCCTTCCTCCTCTGCAACCCCGAAAGGAGTCACCCCCAGCTCAGGTGGCCCTGGACTGGAAGGCAGCTTCTTACCCTCGCTGGCTGAGCAAGAGGAATGTGGCTTTGAGGGTCCCAGGCTTGGGAGACAGGCTAGCCTTAGGCACCATTCTTGGAAGGGACATCGCAGAAAAATGCCCGGTAGCTCCACCATCCTCAGTCCAGCCCAGGGGCACCACCCACACCAACCAGCACCCCGATGCTGGTTCAGAGGAGTCTGGCCCCTCTAACCCCCTTCCCCAGGCCCCACCCCACCCCACGGCAAGAGCAGGAAGGCAGCAAAGGGGGAAGCCTACCTTCGGGTTCCTCCACGCTGCTGGCTGCAGTGGTCGGCGGTGCCACGGGGATCTCTTTGTGGGGTTCAGGATGGGAGGAAGGGGAAACAATAAGAACATGTTAGAGAAGAACGAGCACAGTGCAGACTCCTCCCAACCTTCCTGGGCCCTCCCTCCCAGCCCCACTCCTCGCCCCAGCAGAGGATGGTCAGGGAGGAAGGGAAAGCCGGCGTGAGGGCCCGGGAACCCTACCTGTTCTCTTCTGGAAGCCATCCCTCCACCTGGCAGGGACAGGAGCGAGGGGAAGGCAGGACCCTGACCCCTCTGCTGTCTGCGTGTTGTTGACTCACCTCGGCCCCTGGGGCAGAGAGAGGGGTCCCCAGGGCCCCCTGCTCATCACTATGGGGCTGCGTGGCCCGGTCTGACCTTGACTCATTGGTGGGGAAGGGGGTCCATGGCAGGGGTGGCGTGTGAGGGGCTGGGAGGTGTCTTCCATGTGCAGAGAGGGGCCTGCACCCCTGGCCCAAGTTCCTCCGGGCTCACATCTCGCATCTCACAAGCTAAGGCATTTTCTCGGTGGGCAGAAAAGACTGACAGAACAGAAGACCGTAGGGCCTGACGGAAGCATGTGCTTTTTCGTGACCATTCCTCTCCTACCTAGAAGGGCAACTAGCTTCTCTACAAGCTCCCGCCCGGTGCTCAGAAAAGGTGAGGAACTTCAGCCAGACTCCGGGAAGACCCAGGCTTCACGTCTCCGGCTTCCTTTCTAGACAAGGCCAAACCACGAGCCGAAAGTCCCTGAGGGACAGGGGCTCACCTCCCCTGCAGGCGGTCACAGAGGCCTCCACGAATCCCACTCATTCTGGCCACCATCTGACTATTAGGGGTAAGACCTCCCTCGGACCCCCAGACTCTAGATCAGCTGCAATCTGAGGCTTGGGGGGGTCAAGATGGAACACCCGGGCCTGGGGGCAAACGTGAGGGTCACCCACAGAAGCCAGCCTCTGCACCTTCAGAAGGAACAGGCAGAAGACCCAGCCCTCAATTCGGAGTCAAATCTTGCTCTCGGGTGATCTTATCAGCGGCAACAAGCCACAGGTGCCCCGTCACAGTAGCTCATTAAGAAGCCGGGCCTCCTAGCAGGCCCTCTCTGAGCCTTCCTGAGCTACCTGGCCCAGCAGGAACATCCAGAGAGAAATCCAGACAGCCCAGCCTAACCTTACAAGTCCAGGAATGGGGCTGGGGCCAGTGGCAGTGGAGGCACCCTGGCTGCCCAAGCCCAGCTCCTTCGGCCTGGCTCTGGGACGTGAGCAGAGGGCCCCGGGGCTCCCAGAGCTGTTGCGAACCAGACACAAGTGTCCGAGGCACTGTCTGGGCACCTGTAGCCTGATGCCGGCAGATGGAGACCCGGGTCCTCAGGTCCTTGGTGGGAACGCTCTCCCCAGCGTCAGCCCGCCCTTTGCGAGAGGAAGGGAGACGGTACAGAGCATGTTGGAAAGGGACAGTTCCAGTCTCCCAAGGTTTCTGTTCCTAATTCTGAAACATCAGCTCCACGTCAAGGCCTTTCCCCCTGGGGATTTGAAATGTTGGTTTCAGCCATTTCTGGGAAACCCAACAGCTCCTGACTCCCTTTAAAAGGGAGACCTCACTTGCTCCCTTCATGTTTTCGTAAGCCCAGATGGTGGTGCTAATTTCCTCCCAGCTTTCTAAAAATGTTCACCGTGCAGCTTTTTGGATGGACGGAAAAGAAAGACTTGCAAGCTGTGAGACCCTGACAATTAAATGTCGTGAAAACTCATTTCAACCTTCTCTGCCCTGGATGGATACAAGCTCAATTTCCCGTGGCTTGAATTTACGTTATCCGCTGTTACTGGACCCCTGCCAACAAGGAAACATCTCCTGATGTAGAAACTGGTCAGAAAAGCTGCTGGAACCCACACGGCTCGTCGTGTCCTGGACGTGAGGCCGCACCCGAGTCGGGCAGCTGAGGTGCTGGGGGTTTAAGGCTCCTGCCCGGTGTGAGAACATTCCCTGCAAGACCTAGGGGGTCACTCCAAGGACCCCAAGCAGGTGCCGGGCTGAGGGGTCCCCACCCTCCTGCTTCTGCCTCGGGTTGTCTGTTCCAAGCCCCTTGTACTGACCTGTGAAGCCAGTGCCCACCCAGAGCTACAGGACGCTGGAAAACCACAAGCAGGGGTCGGCCAACTTCTCCTGCCAAGGGCCAGCTCGCAAAGATTTCAGGCCCTGCAGGTCGTAGGGTCTCTGTTGCAACTACTCAATTCTGCCGTTAGAACCCCCAAAGCAGCCACAGGTAGCACGGGCACAAGTGGGCATGGCTGGTCCCATAAAACTTTATTTACGGACACCGAACTTTTCCTTTCATATCATTTTCGCATGTCATAAACTAGTCATCTTTTCACTTCTGTTTCAATCATTTTAAAAAGGTTAACAAGAAACCCAAAACCCCATCGAGCCACATAAAAACAGGCAGTGGGCCAAATCCCTGAGCAGAGTGTGCTAACCCCTGCTCCAGAAAAAAAGCCTTATCCTCGGTGTCTGCCTAGTAGGCTAGGATTCACGCGTTCTTCCCCCTCCTTTCTGGGTGCGGGTCAGCCCTGCACATGGAATCAACGAGGCTGAGGCCGGGGGCCAGCACCCAGCCAGGCCTGACTTCCATCCAGGGCTAATCCAGCTCGTAACACCTGCGCAATCCTACCCATTGTAAGATGTTAAAACTCTTCCGAGCCAAGGCCCCTGAGCGGACCCCCCATCTTGCTCATGCCCCGCCTCAAGTTCCAGCAACTAAGGGGCCGACAGCTGGCCTGCCAGGGCCTCTAGGACCCTCATGGAGGGCTGCCACCCTTCCGAAGGGCGCATGGGGGCCGTGCCGGCTTCTCTCAGAGGCCTTGTGGAGTCCGTCCTTTCAGTTCTGAATCTGACAGGGGCTGGGGATCCTGGAATTCCCGCAGCAGCAGTGGCAGCCCCTGACCCAGGCCCCCCAACCCAGGCCCAGGCCCAGGCCCAGGGTCAAGGTGGAACATGGGAACAGGACCTGGGTTGAGGAGAGGGGCTTGCTCCCCCCCCTCACCCCACACCTTGGGACCAGGAGACTGTCTTTTCAGAACAGAGAGCCACAAATGGGCTGGCTCTGCGGAGACCCCCGCAGCCTTGGGGGTCTCACACGGGCTCCCCGAGCGCAGAGGGCCACCTCAGGGAGCACTACCCCCACTGGATGCGGGTGACCCGTGTCCGGGAAGGGCCCCCCAGCCCCGAGCCCGCACCCGACCCCAGCCTGCAGGAGGAGGGCGCCCTGGCATACTTATGCAGGGGGCGATGGGGGAGCGGCTCTGTTGGTAGCCCTTGGCACAGCGGTTGCAGGTGATGCCGGTCACACCATCCTTGCAGGGGCACTGGCCCGTGGTCTGGTTGCAGGTTTTGCCAGCGGCTCCCACAGGGTGGCAATCGCAGGCTGTGGAGAACACACGACAGGGGGGTCAGAGGCGGGGGTGGGGAGTGGACAGAGCACACCCTCCCCCCAGGGTCCTCCCCACCCAGTGGCGCCCCGGACCCCATCCCAGGGGAAGAGCAGGGCTGGGTAGCCAAGCCGGCACACATTCCAGAAGCTCCGATGCCTGACCACCTGCCTACCTGGAAACAGGGGAATGAGAATCAGAAGGGGCCAACTTGAAAGGACCATCTGGGGGGCAAGGGTGAAGTGGGGGAGCCCTTCCGAAGCCCCGGGAGGAAGATGTACACAGCCCACGGGCTGAGCGTGAGTGCAGGAGTCAGAACTGGGGGTACGCCTGCCCCTCACAGGCTGCTTTGTGCCCCGTCACTCCTCTGCCCCAGCCAGCTCCTGACCCTCTGGGTGGGAGGGACAGAGTGTGGGACGTGATGGAGCCCCGGGGTTTGCCAGGTCAGGGGAGTCACCGAGGGGGTGTGACCTCCCCCGCAGGCTGCGGCCTCCACTCTGCTCTGTCCATCCACCCTGACTGGCAGCCAGGCGGAGTCTGAGACACAGGCTTCTGGACCACAAAGCCCGTCAACTGTAGCGCTAGGAAGAGTCACAGCGATCATGGAAAGACCCCGATTTAATGCGAAGACTCGAAGGTGAAGGAACCCCCAGGACCTTGCAGCAAAGGAATGGCCAAGCTGGGAGGTGCCGCGAGGCCCTGATTCTTAGGCCAGCCGCTGCTGTACCCCACACCCCTCCTCCTAACTTGGACCGGGCTGAAGAGCTGGGATTGCCCACCCTATCACACCGCGCCCTGAGGCTCCCTCCCTGTGTTCCAAGGACCCAATCCCAGTGACGAAATGGCCAGAGGAGTTTGAGGGAACATCCCCCCATTACGGACTGAATGACTGGGTCCCCACTGCAGATTCATATGCTGAAGCCCTAACTCTCAATGTGATGGCATTAGGAGGTGGGCCCTTCCCTTGGGAGGTAATTAGGTTTATTTATTTATTTTATTTTAAAAAGTATTTATTTATTTTTGGTCGCTTTGGGTCTTCATCGCTGCGTGCGGGCCTTCTCTAGTTGCACTGAGCAGGGGCTACTCTTCGTGCGCGGGCTTCTCACTGCAGTGGTGGTTTCTCTTGTTGCGGAGCACGGGCTCTAGGTATGCGGGCTTCAGTAGTTGTGGCATGCGGGCTCAGTGGCTCGCGGGGTCTAGAGTGCAGGCTCAGTAGCTGTGGCGCACGGGCTTAGTTGCTCCGCGGCATGTGGGATCTTCCTGGACCAGGGTTTGAACCCGTGTCCCCGGCATCGGCAGGCAGATTCTTAACCACTGCGCCACCAGGGAAGCCCCCGGTAATTAGGTTTAGATGAGGTCATGATGGGATTAGCACCCTTACGAGAAGAGGAAGGAGAAAAGATCTCTCTCTACACAGCAAGAAGGCAGTGGTCTGCAAACCAGGAAGCAACTGTCGTCAGACACTAAATCCGCAGGCACATCCATCTTGGACTCTCCGCCTCCAAAACTGTGAGAAATACCTGTTGTCGAAGTCACCGGTCTATGGTGTCTTGCTGTGTCGGCTAGTGGAGTAAGACTGCCACCAACTCCACGACGCTCGGGCAAGAACTGTGGGACCTGCAGACACAGGTCACCTGCCGCCCTGGACCTAGGCGGTGGACTCAGCGCGGGCAGGGAAGTGGGGGCAGGATGAAGGAGGCCAAAGTTCTCCCCGGATCCCTGGGGCCCCCCTTGCCCTCCCCACTCCCTCTCCCCAGGGAAGCCTGGGGAGGGCGGAGAGTCGTCTGCAGGAGGGCATCCTGCAGCAACTTCACTTGGTGCCAGAGTTGCTCTGTTTCTATTCCCAATGGGAAAAAAATATGCTAGGGAAGAAGTGAGAGCAGAGCTCCCCAAAGAGCTAAACTAGCACCTCCCCAGCTGCACTGCTCAGCGTGAGGGCAGGAGGCGTGGGTGAAGATGTGGCCTCTCCCAGCCGGCCTCCGGCCCAGGAGGGGCTGGAGAGGAGTTAGCGAGAGAAAGGAGGAGTGGGGAGGGGGCAGAAAGGAGAGGAATGTGAGGAATTGTTTGTCAAAGTTGTGTCTGGACACGTGAGAGCTTCTGGAAACTCTGGGAGCTGGGGGGGGGGGGGGTCCTGGCCGTGGGGTGCTCCGTGTCAGGTGAGAGGACGGCAGGGACCACAGGCCTGGGGGAGGACGTGGAACTGTCCCAATCCTGCCCTTGTAGACATCAGCAAATCCTTCTGTTAGAAACGTGCCTAAAATCTACGCTAAATTCAAGTTCATTTCCTATTGGTTTTTTCTTCTTCTTCTTCCCTTTTTTCACTCAGTCCTGATGCATGTTGTGAATGATAATGTGAGGAGCGGATGGTGGGAGACGACCTCTGCCCTTCGATCCATCCCTGTGATGGGAAGGGTGACGGGGCACGGACAGCGTCTCTGAGCTGGCCTGGCGACAGCAGAGGGCCACAGCACAGGACCCTGGCGTCCCAAGCCCCCGCCGCGGCTGTGGGCACCAGGCAGATGTGGAGTCCCGAGGCTCCTGCCAGCTGACCTCGCTTGGCCAGGCTCGCAAGCCTGTTGGTAATCCTAAAACCCGGGCCAAACGTCCTCCCCTCCATGCTGACAGAGCACAGCTGCGTGCCAGTAACTGCTGGGCCTTGGACTTGGCTGGGAGGAGATCACCAAAGGTTGCTTGGTCCCTGGAGGGTCAGAGCCAAGTCACCCGCAGGCCCAGGTCGTCTTTACCGAGGCAGGAGCCAGCCCGGAGCAGAATCTGGGGGGAGCAGCGTGCATCGCCCTCACCCGAAGCCCTTCGAAGCTGGTGACCCCTTAACCCCCCAGGCTGGTAGGCTGCCGGGCACCAGCTGAGGTCAGCAGGGCTGGGGGCCACCCGGGTGATGGCAAGGCAGGGCGTCTGCTTCATGGAGCAGGCGCATCCTTAGGGCCATCCTCTGGGCACTGCGCTGTGTGGTTTCCACATCTTTCTCCCAGGATTCCGCAAAGACGCTGACTGACTGGCCCTTGGTCTCACAGAGGCAGCAGGCTGACTGTGCTTCCTCGAAAACCACTGTTCCAGGAAGAGAAGCCAGCGGGGTCCCACAGGGTGGGGGGCCTCAGGAGGCTACTCAGGTCACCTCCAGGGCGGTGGGACCATCCCCAGGGGTGGAGCGCTCCTGCAGCACTGGCCTGCCACCCGGACGCCTGGGAACACCTGAGCACATCCACTCTCCCATGTGTAATGCTTCCGGCCCTCACACCAGCCTGTGGAATCAGCAAGACCCTACAGAGGCGGCCACGGACCGGGAGACAGGAAGCACCTGACCTCTGAGCACGTCACCGAGGGCCCTCACCCTCTAGGCTGCCCCTCTGCGCTTCTTGTTCTGCAAGGAGAAACACACAGCACACTTCCCTGTTAAAACCCAGGCCAGGTGACATCCCTTACGGGCAGCCGAATGCAGTCCCAACACAGAGACGTGCATTGCACTCCTTCTCAATTCCAAGCGAAACGGCCCCAAAGTAAAGACTTTTCCCAAAAGCCCATGAATAAGGAAAGCCTAACTTATACTCTCTGTGCAAAGAAGGGTGAGCTTCAAGGTGTGAGGAGAACTGATGGATGACAACAGCCCACAGAGGATCCTCTACAGCCTTGGACCAAGGAATCCAGCTAGCGGTGTCACAGGAAGGGGGCCTGAGCTGCCCACATAGGAGGCCCCAGCCCTGGTCCTTAGGGAGAGAAAGGCAAAGGGATCCTGCCATATCCCTACAACCCCCAAACACACCCAGACACACAAACACACGTAGGTTCCCACAGGCTCTCACGCACACACGCACGCACACACAGCGCCACAGTGGGCAGGGGAGCGGACGGGGACAAGCTGAGCTGGGAGGATGCAGATGTGAGGCAAGTGGAAGTCTCTTCCTTGGCAGGGGTCTGGTTAAGGGGACAAAGTGAGAGCCTCGCTGATTCTTCCGAGAACGAGGTCTGGGTCCGAATGTCTTTTGCCACAAGAAGCCCATTTGGTGACTCCCGTTTCCTGGGAAGTCAGCAACTCCTTTACGGAGGAGGTCAGGCCCTTCCCCGGCAGGTCACCCGTGTGCACGCAGCAGGCAGCACCTGGTCCTGGGAAACAATCTACTGGAGGGTTTTTCCATGAAGAGGAAGGTGAGACCCAGCAGAAGCCCAGGCCCCTGAGAAGGTGGCCGGATTAGGTTTCTCACGAACACGTGGGCTGGAGGGCCTCCTGGCGCAGAGGAGACAGACTGTCCTTGCTCTGGGTCATCGGCCAGAAACGGACAGCTCAGGACACACAGATGGTTTCAGATGAGTGTCAAGAGACCCAGGTCTGACCCTGCCCTGCCAGTAACGCTGTGTGACCCTGAGCTAGCGCCTCACTCTTTCTGAGCCTCGGGTGACTCACCTCTAAGGCAGGAGGTCTATAACTTGCACTAAAGTTGCTTCCAGCTCAACAGGCTAAGATCCAGGGCAGTGGCCTGTCCCCTGGGCCCGTCACCCCAACTGCCACAGTCCATTGCAGTGTCCTGGCCCAGGAGTCTAGGAAAGTGCTCTTGCTGCCGGGCACACACCAGGCCCTGCCTCCACACCCATGGGCCACCCCACCCGACACCATGACCTGCTGCACTCTGAGTGGCAGAATCTCTGAGATTCGGGTCGTCAGCTATGAGAAGTGTACCAGGGTTGCCGAGAGCCCCTGCAAAGCTGACCTGGAAGGCAGGCCGGTAGAGCAGTTATCAGGACCCCCGTGATGGCCAGGGTCCCTCTCAGCTCTGATCCCTGGTTGCTGGTCCCGAGCAGATGCCTTTCCTGCTCTCTCTGACACTCTGTCCTGGATCCCTGAAGGCCCACAGCTCCCATAAGGAGGAGAGGCATGCCTGGGGCTGGTCCCTCTCCACTGCAGCTCAAGCCCTGGCTCTGGAAACCCATCCTGGGTTCCTATCAGGACATCTACCTGCTTTTCCTGAGGACCCGGCTCCAGGGG